ATTTGCGATGAAATTGCTAGCAAAATCTAGTGCTCTCCCCCTACAAATGAAGTACTTGAATAATGATTAACATATCCTCCGGTATCTTCGAGATACAAAGACATGACATTTATGTAAGAAACCATGATTCGGTTTTAATAGGCTACTTGGGTACTGGCTGTTTTGTTTGATCCCCGCAATGCGAAACCCAAACTGGTTATACAATGAACTTTCCTAAATGTTCAAAATGAGGACAATAACACTTGTGTTGCACAAATGTTATATGAGCTCTAGAAGAGCCATAAGATTATTGTACACTATAGTGACAATCCAGAAGATTTGTCCAATCCATCTCTTCAAATTTTGAAATATATGTAGAACTTGAAGATTGTTATCTTCAGGGGGAGACGGGAAGTACATTTACTCGAATCAATTCGGAAGGTTGGACGTAAAATCCTGAAGATTAAGTCATAAAAGACTAACAGTTGCGCACTATTTGCAACACAACGGGAAATACATTTACTTGAATGAATCCGGAAGATTGAACGTAAAATCCTGAAGATTAAGTCATAAAAGACTAACAATTGCGCACTATTTGCAACGCATAAATACATAAATATCATGTACTCTTTTCCTCACTAGTTTTTCTCCCATTGGGTTTTATAGTGTGGTTTTTAACGAGGCATGAGTATGATATAGTAATGACAATGAGGAAAAAGTTGCAAAATAATTGCTTAAATGGACAAACCCCAAAATCCTGAAGATTATGCGGTTTGCGCCCTGAAGGCTTATGGTTGTACTCTTTTTCCCTTAACTAAGTTTTTCCCACAGGGTTTTTCTTAAGTTAAGGTTTTTAATGAGGCGACCAAATACAATATATGTTTTTACATATATCATGTACTCTTTCCTTCAACTAGGTTTTTCCCACGTGGTTTTCCTAGTGAAGTTTTTAATGAGGCATGAATATATTTTCTATTGTACTCTTTTCTTGTCTAGGTTTTTCCCACCGGGTTTTCCTAGCAAGTTTTTTTTTACGAGACGAAATCGTGGTCAAATAATGTCCAAGGGGGAGTGTTATAATTCATCATCATTATGGACATTATTATTGTAACGTATGTAACTGTTATACATTTATTGCATCAATTTAATACCTTTGTATTATGTATATATACTCTATACTTAGCTTGTTGTAGATGAAGATGATAATGAAGAGACTATCATCCTTTCTCCCTCATCTCTCTATTCACTATTCTATTTTTTCCTTTTAACATGAAAATCAATTTCAAAATCAAACTCATCAAATGTCTTAATTCCAAAACAATGTATACTTTTCACATTCTCTCACTTAATTAATCATCGTTTCTTTTTTTTTTTCTTTTGGATGATGAGAGACGTACACTCGCCATCCGTATGCATGCACTGAATAACCCTATTCATATATAATAGCCTTATAATTGATGGAGAATAATGTAATGGGCCTGGCCCAACGAAATTAAAGAGTGTGAGCCCAAAGGGATGAAAAGGGCAAATTATTGTATGGACCATGGTCCACACAATGTTATGTGGACCATAAGAAAAAGTACATTTTTAATATACTAAATCTACATTATTTTTGTAGTGAATGTACATTATATAATATAATGTACACTCAGAACAAAAATAATGTACATCCTCTGAATACAATGTACATTATTTTTATACTGAATATACATTATGTTTGTACTGAATGTACATTATTTTACAGTAGACAAAATATGGTCCACACAACTTGTGTGGACCATGGTCCATACAATAATGATTGGATGAAAAGGGCAAATTATGCTCTGGACCCGTGTCCGCAATGAATTGTGGACACAGGCTCAAAACAACGTCGTTTTTCAAAAAAATGCGTCATTTAGTTATAAAAAAAAAAAAATATTCGCGCGTGTTTTGCCGTTAACGGCGTTCTTTTTTTGGATTATGAATGTACAATTATGCCGTTATGAATGTACATTTATGTCGTTATGAATGTACAGTTATGCAATTATGAAATTATGAACAAAGAGCTCTAACATTATGAACTTACAATTATGAACATATAGTTATAAAATTATGACCATAGAGCTTTAAAATTGTGAATATAGAGCTTCGAAGATTATGAATGTACAGTTATGGAGTTATGAATCTACAGTTATGAGATTATGAATCTACAGTTATGGAATTATGAATGTACAGTTATTGATCGAATTATGAACAAAGAGCTCTGACATTATGAACTTACAATTATGAACATATAGTGATAAAATTATGAACATAGAGCTCTAAAATTGTGAACATAGAGCTTCGAAAATTATGAATGTACAATTATGGAGTTATGAATGTACAGTTATAGAGTTATGAATGTACAGTTATGGAGTTATGAATGTACAGTTATAGAGTTATGAACGTACAGTTATGGAGTTATGAATGTACAGTTATTAACATATAGTAATAAAATTATGAACATATACTCCTATAACGAAGCGGTCTGAAATTAAAAAAAAAAAAAAAGAGATAACAGTGCCTAACGACACTGTTACCCGTGTCCAGCATGCATGCTGGACACGGGTCTATAGCATAACGATTGGATGAGAAGGGGGGCTCACACGCATGGGCTCGCATGCATGCCTATACGTACGCTTGGACCTCGCAAACATGCATGCACGCGTGTATGCGAGGTGGTTGCATGTGTACAAGGTAGCGGCTGCACGCACGGGTGGCGGTTGCATGCGTACAAGGTGGAGGCTGCGCGTACGGATGACGGTTGCATGCGTACAAGGTGCGCGGCTGCGCGTACGGATGACGGTTGCATGCGTACAAGGTGGCGGTTGCATGCGTACAAGGTGGTGGCTGCAAGTACGGATGACGGTTGCATGGGTACAAGGTGGCGGCTGCGCGCACGGGTGACGGTTGCATGCGTATAAGGTGGCAGCTGCACGTACGGGTGGCGGTTCCATGCACGCTGTTGGAGACTACGTACATGCATGCATGTGGGTGGAATGGCGGCTAGTGCATGCATGCTGCACACGGAAGGGCAGTTGACGGAGGGCGGTGCGTATAGGAGCAGGGACCTCTCGGGAGAGTGCGCGACAACCCGTTTGAGAAGTTGGGGGCACGTGCGAAGAGGAGAGGACACGTGTATGGTGGGAGCTGGAGGCCTGTAGATGTCGCACACGTGGGTGGTATGCGGAAGTACTGAGAGGGTATAAAAGGGGGGGGGGGGGGCTGCGGTCAGTTTAGGACATGGCAAGAAACACAAAAGACCTTGCGGTCTGAGTCTTCTCTCTCTCCTAACTAGTCCAAAGATCGATTATGGTATTATGCATGTAATTCAGGTTTCTGTCTATCCATTTATTTCCCTTTTCACCGTATAACTTCCATGTACTATTTTTTTTGGGCTTGCGACACTAGGCTTGTGCGCGTTTATGTGGGCCTCGCGCCCCACTGACAATAATAACTCTTTTATTTCGTTCTATATTTCCTATACCCGATTTATGGTGGACCCGATTTCATTAAAACCATCAATAATAATCTAGAAATCACACAAATTATATAAACATCACTACAAAGTCATATTTGTTTTTTTAGATGGAGCATTTGATGAAAGCTAGCTAGCTCATTAATATGAAACCGTTTGTCATATGTTGTTATCATCACACACATCATTTTCAAGCCTAGGGCCATATTCATTTTATGTTATAGTTTTTATTGTAATTTTTATTTAATTTTTTTTTTATTTTTTATAAGAGAATCTGATCTGTAATTACTATTTGATGGTATATACGGAATAAACTTCATTTTTATGAGTGTTTTTTTGTTAGTTTGTTTGTTTGGTCACTACTTAGCTTGAGGTTAATTTGTATGGCATAGTCCGTAGTCTTAAAGTGGATAACTTTTTTTTAAAGGACTAAATTGTAATATAAGTAATTTATTTGGTATTAAATAGGAATATAAATTATTGTTGAAATTACTGTGCGAGTGTATTATCACTCTTAATAATTAAGTTTAATTTGCACTCAATTTGATTAGGAAAATACTTGGTGTACTCCCATTTTATACTCCCAACTTGTACTCCCTCTCACATGTTCTTGATGTAGATATTTTTCTGTGGACCCACATGTTGAAAATAACCAATCCAGGCTTGCCACATCAGGGAGTACAAATGAGGGAGTAGAATTTGGAAGTTCATGTAGTAGAACTCATTTGATTATTGTTAAATGAGATTTAGACAAGATAGCTTTAATTGATTTTGCAGAATCAATATAAATCTACATCTTCACTCAAACTTGATTCCCCCCTCCCTCGCCCCCCCCCCCCAAAAAAAAAAAAAAAAAAAAAAGGAATAAGGTTCAAATTGGCCCCTGAACGTAACCTGAAAATGCAATTAGGCCACTGAACGAAAAAAAAAAAAGTGCAATTAGGCCACTGAACACTCCAAATGTATGCAATTTCACTTAATAGCAGGTTACTTGCTTACGTGACATGTGAGATGACATTTTTAAATACTTTTTAATAAATTTTAATAATAAATTTTTTTAAAAATGTAATTTAAAAAAAAAACGACGGAGTTTATTTTTTATTAATTTCTTTTAAATTTATTATTAAAATTTATTAAAAAATTATTTAAAAATTATTAAAAATGCCACCTCAGTTGCCACGTAAGCAGGTAACCTGCTAAAATTGATGGTAATCTGTTATCCGGTGAAATTGCATACATTTGGAGTGTTCAATGGCCTAACTGCACGTTTTTGGAGTGTTCAATGACCTAATTACACTTTTTTTTTTTTTTTTCGTTCAATGACCTAATTGCATTTTCAGATTACGTCGCCAATTTGAACCTTATTCCAAAAAAAAAAACAGTGCTATTGACCCAGGCCAATTGTTAGTTATTACGGAAAATAAAAGGGAAATAAAGAAGAGAAAACAAGACTTTGGGGGCGAATTCGAGATTATTCATAAATGGGGGATGATGGTGAATTTTTAAATTTTATATTACGAGTACTCCAAGCAGAATGGAGTGAAAGATAGCAGAGCTAGCTGGGCAGAGCAAAGAAGAAGATGCTAGAGAGGGTGCTGTCTTCCCGGAGAGCAGGCGGGCCGGTGAACGAGGACGGCGACGACGACAGTACCGGAGACGAATCCAAGACCCGAAAGCACACCTTTACCCCAATGCGGTTCATCAACTACCTGACCCGAACGGGTCACATCTGGCCCTGCCTCCTCATAGGCCTCGTCGTCGTAGTAATCACTTCCTTCATTGTCCACACTCGCGATTTGGTCTGCATCTCCGCCTCCTCTGCCGATCACACCTCGCGCCTCCGCTTCTTCGGCTTCGACGGCCTCGAATCTGATTTCGGATCTCTGGGTGTGCCCTGGTGTAAGTTCCATTTCCCCACCTTCCCTATCTCTCCATGATTCTACCGCGTTTCAGATCTGGATGCTATCTGCTTTTTGCCCTGGACGGGGATTTATGACGAAATTGATTCTATAATTCATGAAATGTGGCTCTGTTTTTTCATTCATTTAGTGAGAATTAGATTAATCTAGCCGAATTTGAAGCTCACTGCTCAGTACAAATATCCTTTAATAGTTCTGAAATTTTTATAGGATATTATAATAAAAAAATTGCAGAAATGCTCAACAATGAATTGTGGATTGTATGTAGCTTTTAGCTTCTATGAAACTAAATTGCAATAGCCAGCATGTGTCAATTTATTGACCTATATAAAATTATATCCTGTTAACTGAAAGATGGCATCTTTCTCTTCCCTACGTAGCAAGATAGCTTCTTAAATTTCTGTTCTGTAGTTGATGTCCTTGCATATTCTCTTACCGACAGGTTATTCTAAAATGATAAAATATGATGTCAGAAAATGCCCAAAAATTACTACTCTTAATAAGATAAATTGTCATCATATATTTAAACTTTGCATTAATTGTTGAGTTTCCTATTATACATGACCCTTTTAACCATGATTTAATGTATGCCCAGATCTTAAAACTACAGTGTTGAATTTGCTCCTGTAGTAATATGCTTCTATTTGGTTTAGCTTATGGGTAAAAGGCACTGAAATTGATTTTTACAGTTGTGATATTTTCTATTGCTTGGTTAGTGATGCTTTAGATTAATGGAGCTAAACTCTGAGTTTGGTTTTCTACCATCTACTCCCCTTTAATTGCTAGCTTTTCTAAAGGCAGATCGAAACTTGGCAAAACTGTTGAATGGACCACAAAAGATTTACTCGAAGGTTTGGAGGAGTTTGTGCCAATATATGAAACACGTCCAATCAAGAATAACATGTATGGGATGGGATTTGACCACAGTTTTGGGTTATGGTTCGTCACCAGATGGTTGAAGCCAGACTTGATGATTGAGAGCGGTGCTTTCAAGGGACACTCAACCTGGGTTTTGAGACAAGCAATGCCAGATACACCAATCATATCGCTTTCACCTCGTCATCCTGAGAAGTACCTCAAGAAGGGACCTGCTTATGTTGATGGAAATTGCACATACTTTGCTGGAAAAGACTTTGTCGACTTTGGCAGTGTTGATTGGGCAATAGTTCTGAAGAAACATGGAATAGAAGATATTAGTCGTGTTATTGTCTTTTTTGATGACCATCAGAATGAATTGAAAAGGTATTGCAGTTTTGCCTTTGGGAATATGAGTAACCTCTTGGTAATTCATTCTGCATATTATTTTTCTGCTACTAAGAATTTGTTGCATTGCAATTTGATTGGCAGATTAAAGCAAGCTCTTGAAGCTGGATTCAGGCATCTTGTCTTTGAAGACAACTATGATACTGGTACAGGAGATCATTATTCCTTGAGGCAGATATGTGATCAATTCTATATAAGAGGTACACAAGATATATATATAAATGTGTGTGTGTGTGTGTGTGTTGTTGATTTTTGACTATAAAATTCTGGCATTTTAGATATAAAAAAAATGGCATTTAGTATAACATAACTACATAAGTCATGCAAATAAGATATTATTTCTTAACCACCAACCCCATGGAGCTGCATTAAGATTTGACAGGCATTTGTATCAGAGGAATGAATTGGCAAATTACTTATAGAGCTTACTAATGCTCTATGGTGACTAATTGATAGCACTCCTGAAATGCTGATGGTCAAATCCATTTGTTTTCAGTATTTCATAGGTCCCCAAAATGGAAGTATGATTTGTATATTGATAGATTTTATTTTCGGTTTAACATGCTAACTTAATCTGATCTTGGTGTACCAAAAGATTACTCATGCAGTCATGCCTTGAAACCCAAAGGAGCAGAGTTCATAACATGAAACTATTAAAAGTACAAGATGAAACCCATACATTTTCAAGAGAACTAAATATTTAGTTACTCGGTTACCTCATGTGTGAAAATGGAAGCATAGATTTGTTCTTAAAGTCCATTATGAAATTATTCTCTGGTAACTCAGTTGGTCCTATTTGCCAATCGTACATGTTCACTCTGTTATAGCGCTCATGCCTGTTGCTCGTGGCAATGATTGCCTTTTCATATTAATGCTTTTACCCAGGCGGTGGCCACAGCTGCTTTAAGGATAGCGATGAAGCTAGGATAAGATCAAGAAGGAAGAAATTCTGGGAAAAAGCTGTTGATACAGAGGAACTTTGTGGGCCAGGTGAAGCATGGTGGGGTGTGAGAGGTTATATGCGGGATAATTTTAATCACAGCAATAAGGTAATCACCTACGCTGAACATTTTCAGAACAGCAGGTTTGTAGAATCAGTACTCGATGTGTACTGGGAGCTCCCCCCTGTAGCTGGCCCTTCACTAACTCATCAAATGAGATACGACCCAGCTCGTGCATCAACTCCCATCGTTGAAGATGGCAGATATGGATTATTCCAGAGACTTGGCTTATCTAGATTCGACAATTCTGTATTTAATGGATACACACAAATGGTATACGTTCAGGTCTCTCCGCAAGAATCTTAGCCCCCGCTGAAGTTGGTGCAAAAAGAGGTTTTCAGTTACCCAGTGCCGTCTGTAGTGTTCATTACATGCTATCTCCTTATTTTTTCTTCTTTTATTTCATTTTTTGTTTGTTTTGCATGTACTCTGAGTTCTGACATAGCTTTCTTGCTGTCAATATTAAGTTACATAATCGAAACCTATTTCTCCCAGGCACTATTTGCATCAAAATCCAACATCAACAGCAGTAAACCTACAACTATACATCCCAAACCATCAACAGAGCAGATTAACTTTCATAGAACACTCAGGGTTTGGGGTGTAACTTGCCACACCAAGTTGCACTCCGACGTTAAACCTAAGTTTACATTTCAAGATTCTTCTATAGTGTCCGTCTATATCATATATATCGGATACTATTGATACTAGTACTGATCAGTATCATTGAAGTAGAAAGCTGTTGAATTATTGGGTTTATGGTGGATTAAGCAGATCATGATCATCATCCCAGATTTGCTGATGATGTAGTGACCCAGCTTGCCTCTCTGATGTCCAGTTCAGTTAGTGGATTGGTCTACTTAATGACTATACTTTCTGCTTCCCTCTTTTTGTGTGTTGTGCATGCATGTTATCAGGTCTAATATGTGGGGGATATGATTGAGATAAATGACTTACCATGTCTCCTACTAACTTTTCCAGTTTCTGCCCTGCATGCTTCACAGATTTCCAGCATATTCACAACCCATTCAACACAGTACACTGCCTCCATATGAAATGGAAGGTTTTGTATTCCATTAATGCTTCTTCTTCTGATCTGATAATAGTGTCATGTTTACACAGAATATGTTGCTAATAGCCCTGAATATTCTATCATCACAATTAATAAATGAATAGTTTCGCTTCTGTGGACGTAAGCATATTGTCAAATTACACAAATCTTGTCGTTACTTTCTGTCATTATTATTGTTCCTTGTTCTCATTAATCTCTATAGATTTGCTTATAATCAGAAGCAATATATGAGCACTCACAATTAATCCTGCTATATCATAATCAAGATTCTTTTATAAAGGATGATGAAAGGGATTGAAGCAAAGCATTTAACAAAAAAAAAAAAAAAAAAAAAAGCGTTGAAGTTGCGTAGAGATTGAAAATTTGAAATTACTAGCATCTACATCACAATCAACATTCTTTTTCAAAGCATCCTTTCCTCATAATTATATTAAACCATTTCAACATATATTTTTGCAACTTTACAATGTCCTGTTCAACGTAGCTTTCGTTTCTTTAGACGATGTCATTCATCTTTTTTTCAGCTTTTCCTTGATGTTTATGTTTTACTCATAACTTACCTTACAATTTATCAATGTCCCGTGTTTTTTGAGTAAAAAGAATCCGAGTCTTCTCATGTAAAAATATCAAGTTTAACACTTGTGAATGAGTGTCAAACGTTAAGAGATCGAGCTCTCCAAATGAAAATTTGTAAGTGGTCGACTTTGAATTAATTTTTTTGATCAGTGGACTTTGAATTAGTTAAAATTATGGCCCTGTTTGGTAAAATAGTTAGCTTATCAGTTAATTTTGACTTGTTTGACCACTATTAGCTGTTTGACTTGGTTAAACAACCAATATAAGTGATTAATTAGCTTTTTGTAACAGCTTATTGCTCCAAAACACTAAAATTCAAACGATAAACTTTTTGAGAAAGTTTTGTTTTTTGTTTTTTGTTTTTTTTTTGTATGTATGTAATCAGCTAACAACTAATTTATTTATCAAATATATTTTTACAATCAACTAATATTATCAATTAGTCAAATTCACTAATCCAATTAACTATCAGCTAACAATTATTTACCAAATGCTCTATATATATCGAATAATTATTGAATACAGAAAATTTTGAGGCACTATTTTGGTCTAAAGACTTGATCTGGTCCTCAACGTTTTTGTTTGGAGCGTGAGGAGGAAATGTGTAATCCTATCTTTATGCCAAAAGACAAGTCATTAGTAGCTTTCCAAGTGGGTTAGACTATGATGGCCATATTTGATACTCCTTTTGTTGTCAAAAGTAATGCCCTTTGTAAATTAATTACTTATCAGCTTAACTATAAACCATCAATTTGTCAGTTGATATTGTTAATACTGAGATATATGTTTTTGGGTTTCCTTTCCTTTTTTTTTTTTTTTTTTTTTTCCATGAATATACAAGAATTTTAAATTTTTGTATGGAAATTGATATTCAGAATTATTTTTTATATAAAATATTATTTGTAGCCGCTTAATTATGAGTAGATTTAGTTCTTAAATTCTTGGTGGAGTAACGATCAAATTTGGTTCTTAAATTTTTCTAATAAAACTCTAATGACATGTTTGGTTCGCAAAATAGTCGTAGAATGGAATAGTATTCCCAGTAATAGGTCTATTCCTTTGTTTGGTAAAAACATCTACTCCTAGGAATATTTGTTCCTGGGAATGACCGGGAATAGAGATTCCTGGCCCCTGTATTAGGCCATTTCTAAGTTCTCAGGAATAGCCTAAAGTTGCTATTTGTTATTTTACCCCCAATTAAATTTATTTCCTATTTTACCACCACCAACACTATCACCATCACCACTATTGTCGCCGTCACCACCACCACCACCACATATTTTTATAGGGTATTTATGTCTTTTAAAACATATTTCATTTATATTCCTTAAAATGCCCCCTCCCCCCCCCCCCCCCCAACATTTGCATCACTTATGAGTATTTTAATTTGTTAAAAAAAATTATATTATTCTTCTTTTGAATATTATTAGATGTTCTTCAAATGTTAGTACTCCATTGAACCAAAAAATAGCATACAATTCATGCTTTATTCCTTGCTCATTTCATTCCTCCATGTATTCCTTCAAAATTTATTTCGTGAAGGTGTCATTTTTTTTTTTTTTGTATTAATATTTGTATCTATGGGATAATTGAAGCATGTGCTCCATCTCAACTAAAAGCCTAAGCTAATAGTTGACTATATGCTCACACGCCCCCTCACGTGTGCGGTGGGTTCCAAGCAACACGTGGACCGGTAAACCGTAGTCGCTTTCGAGTGGCGCTAAGATTTGAACCCATGACCTTTGGTCTGACTTTGATACTAAATTGAAGCATGTGCTCCATCTCAACTAAAAGCCTAAGCTAATAGTTGGATTGCACATTGATGGCTATATGCTCACAGGGATCAAGTTTATTATTCCACTTTGGATACATTATCAACATTGATTATATTATATTGACATATTTACTTTTAATGCTCGACTATGATTTGTTCTGTTCTTAATTTTAAAAAAAAAACATTTAATTACTTTTATTTCAAAAATACATCTTTTAAAAATTAAAACATTCAATCTAGTATGGAAGAGTTGGTAAGTGTAGCACTAACACTAATGAAATTAATTAACCCGGGAGTCCGTGTTAATTAACCCAATTAATAAATAGACATTTCCATGGAGAAAATATGAATGATAAAAGGATTGCAGGGAATCAATAAATAAGAAATAAATATGCAGGGCACAAGATATTTAACGTGGAAACCAATACGGTGAAAACTACGAGCTTTTTTGGGCTAAGTCAAGCCGTAATTCACTAAGTTGAAGGTGTAGTACATGTACATAGGTAAGGCCATGACCATGAAATATATGGAAGAAGAAAGAATATGTAAGATTGGAGATATGTTCTAATAGGCGTGATCCTGATTAAATTAGGATTAGTCTCAATATAATGAGAATATTAGATGCTGCAAATAATAATAATAATAATAATAATAATAATAATAATAATAATAATAATAATAATAAAACATTCCACTTTTTAAAAGTACTTCTTAAAAAAATTAGATCAATTACCTCTTAGTTATGTGGTATCCTCCTTAACCAACTTGGTGGGCAAAAATGGGGATCAATTATTTGTTGTTTGAGGTGCAAAAGTAGAGAAAAGACAAAAATAAATAAATAAATAAATAAATAACTGAAAAAAAATAAAGGAATTAAAAAACTCCTAAAATTAAATGTCGTAATAGTAATTAAGGGGCGGCTTCTAGTTTCTGTAAGCTAAGCAAAATGCGGTGCTACTTCCACTATACTAATTAAAAATCATTCCAAATATCCAATAATACATCAATTTGGCAAAACGTCATTGCACCTTGTTGCTATCCTTTTTGAATATGCTTCCTTTTAAAAGGATAATTATATTATTGGAGAAAATTTATGGTGTCAATCAGTATCTATCATTGTTTTTTGTATTTGATTAATTTTTAAAAGATTTTTGTATTTACGTTTAGTTATACTTGGTGCAATCAATATTGATAGTGATTGATGCATTTAAATTTTTTTATAGAGAAAATGACATTTTTCTCCATAAATTATAAACTTATAGTACTTTTTTTCCTGAGTTATTCATGTATTCATATTTTTTCCCTTTGATGTTAAATGAACATTTTTGCCCTTATAATGAGGCTAAAGTGTCATCTTGCACCCTGAACTATATTGGATTGTTCATGCTGCACCTTGAACTTTTATAAGGTATATTTAGATCTATGTACTATTAATTTATATTTTTTTTTCATCTAGCATTATATTTTTTGCAGATTTTCCGATTACCAGGATGACATGACACCGATAATATGCTGATGTGGAACTTCTTTCATGTTTTAGTGGGCCCTAAATCCATAAATTAATCCACGTAGCTTATCCTTGCACCACTCTTCTCTGTTCTTTCTCGCACAAGTTTTCAATAATACTACAAAACCACCGGAAAACAGCAACAATGATGCCGGCCAGCTCTTGTCACCGAGGAAGTCGAGGTTGAGAAGAAGCTGCAGGATGATGCGCCAGTGGTGGAACAATTGAAGGATTGCACTACAATGGTTCCTAGACATGTCTAGAGCACCTTTGCGATGCAATCGTATCTAGTGTGGTGCAATCATGTAGTAAGTGCAGTGTAATTTTTCAGTATTTCGCAGGTTCGCACATTAAGATTAGTTCAAACATGATTATATATAGAGTAAGGTTCAAGTGCGGCGATGTCCTTAGGTGCGGCGGTGCAGCGTCACCAATAGTTCAACAAATATACACTATCAGCGTTAGGAAAATGCACCACAAAAACACACACAAATTAGGTACACATCACCAAAAACACACCATTAGGTGTGAGTAAAAACATCATACAGTGTTCGGAAATACACTATTGGGGTGTGGTGAGTTATATGGTGTATTTTTTTGGATATGTTTTTTTTTTTTTTTTTTTTTTTTTTTTTTTTTTTTTTTTTTTTTGCATTTCATTATGGTGTGTTTCCCTTACACTATCGGCACGTTTGGTTCACAGAATGAATTTTGAGGTAATAGGAATGCTATTCCATAAGGAATGGAATAAACAAGGAATAGAATATGAATTGTATTCTATTGTTTGGTTCGCGGAAGGAATAGAATTTAGGAATTATATTACAGTGTTTGGTTGATTTAAGGAATAGAAATGAAATATGTTTTAAAAGACATAAATACCCTTATAAAAATATGTGATGGTGGTGGCGGCGGTGCTAGTGGTGGTGTTGGGGGTGGCGGTGGTGGTGGCAACGGTTGTGGCGGTGGCGGTGGTGTTGGCGGCGGTGGTGATGGCGGTGGTGGTGGGGATGGTGGTGGCGGTGCTAGGGTGGTAGTGCTGGTGGTGGTGGCGGCGGTGGTAGTGCTGGTAGTGGTGGCGGCGACGACTGTAGTGATAGTGGCAGTGGTGAAATATGAAATAAATTTAATTGGGGGGTAAAATAGAAAATAGAAACTTTAGGCGTTCTCAGGAATAGCCTAATACCAGGAAGCTCCTAGGAATCTCTATTCCCCTTGCAAGGGGAATAGGTCATTCCCAGGAACATTGTTCCTGGGAATAGAAGTGGTTACCAGACAGTGGAATAAGCCTGGGAATGCTATATCATTCTATGCCTGTTCCGTGAACCAAACAGCCCATATTGGTGCATGTTGTTAACACTATTGGTGTATTCTAAAATTCCACCGCACCACCGCACTAAGGACATCGCCGTATTTGAACTTTTTCCATTATATATATATATATATATATATATATATATATATATATATATATATATATATATATAAAAGAAATGGATAGTTAAGAGTATAAGACTGTTTATGATGTAATCATATGTGCTAACCCTAAGCTAGCTATCTCGATCTATCGTGGTGGCCGGCCGGTCGTCGAGCAATGAAATGACATTCTCTGGCGAGTCACCGGCCACCCCAAATCAAGGAAGCAAAACTCCACGAGCCCTTGTTTCTCTGGCCTGCCCTCAAAACACTCCCACTCCCCACCACTTTTTTCTGCCCCCACATCTTAAAAAAGCAAATTAAAGCATCAATAAAAATGACACAAAACAATTTTTATATACATTAATTAAATAAAATAATAAAAGATGGGAAAGAAGAAAATAAAAGGAAAAATGCTTTTGGTAAAAAAAAAAAAAAAAAAGAAATATTTGAATTTAAATCATTGAAATTGACAATAATTACTTTTTTTTTTTCAATACTTAATCACCTCAGTTTCGTTGATTAATCCTAAACTCACAAACCTCACCCTTAGAGTCACAACAGAAGTAGTTCACGAGTAGCGTAAACAGCTCACCAGTCATACCCTAGTCTTCTGACAAACCACTAAACTAAGCCCCGGGAGCAATATTAATTACTCTGTTGATTCCAAATAATATATGTATCTATATATCTATCTGTCTCTCTCTCTCAAAACTGGAAAAAGCTTCTTTACCAGCCCCACTACTTGCAAATATTATTACTGTGTGTAGTAGTGCCACTTCGGTGAGAAGGACATATAATGGTGGTTTCTTGAAACCTCTGATCTTCTGTCAACAACCAAATTAAACGCTCTCTTGAAAGCTTCACCAGAGGCTATAGTTTTTGCAGCCACAAAGATAAAAAGCAGCACAAAAAAGAGAAGGGGGAAAAAGGGTTTTGTTTTGTTTCTTTTACATATTGGAAGGAAGAAGCCTAGCCTGAGATATGGTGGTAGGTAGCTAGGAATGACATGATGGGTGGAAACCCTACTGACTGGTGGAGCATGATGATGATGATGGATGGAACAACCGCCATGCATTCACAATCTTCCTCTTCTTCTTCTTCCTCTCCTACCCAGAACTTGTATGGATCTTCTTCCAATTCTTTGCCAGATAATTCCACCCAAGATTTCCCTCGCTCCTGGAGCCAACTCCTCCTGTAAATCCCTCTTTCTGCTATATATAACTTCTTTCTAGTTTAATTAATTTGTTTAATTTTCTGGGTTATGATGATTAATTTGCAGCGGTGGATTGGGTGGTGAAAGTGAAAAGTTTGGCATGATGAACAGTCCTAATCCCCTTGAAGAACACAAGAAGATGGAGAACTGGGAAGATTTGCAGACTCTACAGAACAACAATAACCCATCGTCTTCTTCTTCTTCCTTATTAAGGCCCCCTTTTGCAGCAGATATAAAGCAAGAGTTTCCCCTGCAGATTAACCTAGGACGACAACATCATCAAGAAGTAGTAGACATGGCGGCGGCTTCTAGTTTGAGTCACAGCGTTAACAACAACGTTTTCAACTTCCCCAGCAGTACTAAGGTGGGAGGAGACTCCTGCACCAAGAATCAGAATCATTATTATTCATCTGAGGTAAGCGCCCAATCAAGAGAGAAAGTAGCCAAAAAAGACAAAGTTGAAAATTTTTTAGACCTCCTTTTTAGCTAATGCCAAAACCAAAAAAAAAAAAAAAAAGAAAAGATTATTCACTATATATTCCTACATCAACAGACAGGAAAAGATGTGTTTTTGACAAAGCTAAGGTCAAACCATTCATGATTGATTAACATAACTGTTAATATATACGGTTTTAATTCATTAATTATGCCTTAATTATATTTTAGGGCTTTACATAATTTCCTATATGCATGGCTGTGTTGATATATATGGTTTTTGTGTACATGGAAGTGTAATAGCACAAGCAGTGGTGGACCATCTAAGAAGCCTAGGGTTCATCACTCTTCTTCCCAGCCTTCTCTAAAGGTATACTATTCATACATACTAGCTTAATTAGTAGTATATGTAATAGTATATATGATGATGTAAAAAACATTAATATTAGGCTAAATAATTAATTTACCTGTTTGAAGCTACAGGTAAGAAAAGAGAAGCTAGGTGATAGAATTACAGCTCTTCACCAAATTGTTTCCCCTTTTGGAAAGGTAAATAAAATTCACCCTTAGGGTATATAGCTTTGCTTCCTCCTCCCACTTTTTCTTTTTCCCCGAAATCAGTATTGTTGAACATATAATATCATCTCACTAACAACTTAAACTTTTAGTTAATTTGAATAAAACGTTACATCTTTTAATTTGATATTAGATGAATTTGAATTTCTGCGTTAATTATCAATTAATTAATTATTTTTGCTAAGAAGAATATGTAAGTTTGTATGTATGTATATAGAGTTTGTGATGAAATCCATAAAGTGCAGTGCTGCAAGTGATCTGATGAAAATTCTCTTGTTGCTTTTATATAAATATTCCAAACCCCCATGAAGCCTTGTCTTTTGAGAGGGGCTTTAAACATGAAAGAAAGAAAGAAAGAAAGAGAGAAGCACTTTAGGTAATTAGTGTATGACTTTGAGGAGGGAATTCAGTTTATTTTTGTTGTGGCATGGCATGTTTGATGTTTCTCTTTTGCAGACTGACACTGCCTCCGTCTTGTCAGAAGCCATTGGCTACATCAGATTCCTTCACTCTCAAATTCAGGTCTCTTTCTCTTCCCATCTCTCTCTCTATATATATACTTTTCTTTTAGGTCACCGTAGTTCTTACTTGAAAGTGTGTACCGAGTAAAATCTTGCATGGTAACCCTAGTCGATAAATTTAAAGATAAACTAGACTAGGTTATTCATAATGACTGGCTTAGGTCGCTCTTGCTGAGAGTCGAGCTTATAAACTTGCATTGTTAGGCTGCGGCTCAGAGAGTCGAGTTCAGTATCCTGTCATCGGACTATAGTGCTGACTGCTACGCAAGTATAAAGAAATAAAGTTGTGTGACGTACATAGTGGTAAACGCTTAATTAATTTTATAATTGGTATCAGAGTCAGGGTTTAATTTCCTACTAGCTACAACTTTTGGCACGTAAGCGTTTGATCCTACAAATTAAACCTCGTGGACTTGTGGTTACCAAGTCAACTATTTGACCAACTTGAGTGATGTTGTCCCTCTCCATATATGCTTTGCTTTGCTCACTTTTTAGCATTTATATTTTTTTGTATCGGATACGATCATGTATAGTATATTTAGTTATACTAAGTACAATAAATGTGTTTAATAGTACCGTGACACAATAATAAGATATCGATATTGATCCACACTCTAAAAATTTCCGATATATACACACAAAGTCTAATGGAAAAAAATGGTTAATTTAGCAGGCATTAAGCACCCCATACATGGGCAATAATCCATCAGGAAGCATGGCTCGTCACAGTCATCACCAACAATCAGTAAGTAATTTACTTTGTTTCAATTGGCGAGTGTATTTTATATTGGATGAAATTATATCTATTGCTTTCTAATGAAACAAACAATATAACATTTTATGAGGTATATGACATTGTTACATATATATACAGTACGTACAATAAAGTACATTAAAGTGGTTAGTATTATTTAATCATCAAGCTAAGCTAGTATGCTTTATTGGATCCCTCACCTCCCTATAAATTAAAGATTTATAAAAGCATAAGGAATCGCTGTACGTGTCAGTATGTGTGTGTGTATTTTTTATTATTATTTTTTATTTTTAAAAGTTGTCCTTAGAACGAATAAATCATCATCTCAATCTATTCATTAATAATAATAATAATAATAATAATAATAATAATAATAATAATATACACTGTGGATTATAATGACTCTGGTTGATAAAATAATTAATATATCATTCAATTTTGATTTATTTGACGACTATTAGCTGTTTGACTTAGTTAAACAATCCATATGAGTGTTTGATTAATTAGTTTTTTGTAATAACTTATTGTTTCAAAATGCTAAAATTCAAAAAGTTGTTCAAAGTAATTTTTTCCATCAGTTTTTTGATAAAATCATTTTGCTTGTAATCAGCTATCAGCTAATTTACCAATCACTTTCTACAATCAGCTAATGCTATCAACTAGTCAAACTCACACATCAATCAACTAATAGCTATTTACCAAACACCTCCAATATTTTACTTAACAATGTTATATTTTAAAAATAAAAAATGACTAGATATATTTATAAGTTTTTAAAAATTATGTGAATGATTAAACTCTATTATCATTTCAAATGAATGGTTACAAGATATTACCTAGTAATTTAAAAAAAAAAAAAAACATGTACTATTTTGTATTTTATAAATACAAAATTTTTACTTACAACATTGTTGCATTTTGGTTAATTATAGAATAATCCATGGCTAAGTGGAGGTGGCAATAAGGATTTAAGGAGTAAAGGGTTATGCTTGGTGCCTGTTTCTTGCATTCAACATGTCGGAAGCGACGAGGGTGGAGCCGCCGGTTACTGGGCTCCGGCTCACGGCGGAGCTTTTTGAGAACAAATTAATTAAATAATTAAACTTATCTTCTAGAGTCGATTATATCGGGGTTTAATTATTATATTATATATGCGATAGATATTTAATTTCTTAAATGAGTATTTTTCATTGTGAAATTATATCGGATCGATCAATTCAGAAACAGTAAGTATAGAAATAGATGTGACAAATTAAAGGCAAAAGTATATTTGCATCAATATAATAGCGTTGTTGACAAGATGTGTTGCAATCACCATACTTTGAATGCAAATCAGCACAAAGTACAATGAAATCAAGATTAACTACTCATAATAGAAATTCACCCCGGCCCCTAAAAAAAGAAAAAAAAAAAATTTAATGTAGCATCTCTCAATGATCTACTCAAGTTGTTAAATGTGTTTTTCTATTCTACTTTTATTAATTTCTTGGTTTTGTGCTGTGAGACTAGCTGAAAATTTTCAACAATCTAAACTTTTGGTACACTAAACCGCACTCATATTTTTGCTAGATGTTTGAGAGTGTTTTGACTACTTAATTATATAGACTTGTAAGATTATAAATTATTGGAATAAGGTTCAAATTGACCACTGAACGTAACCTGAAAATGCAATTAGGCCACTGAACGAAAAAAATGTGCAATTAGGCCACTGAACACTCCAAAAATGTGCAATTTCACCTGACAGCAGGTTACCCTCAATTTTAGCAGGTTATCTGCTTACGTGGCAGCTGAGTTGTCATTTTTAATAAATTTTAAATATTTTTTAATAAATTTTAATAATAAATTTTTATTTAAAAAAATTTTTAAAAAATAAAAACGACTTTATTTTATTTATTTATTTATTTTTTTTTTCAATTTTTTATAAAATTTATTATTAAAATTAATTATTAAAAATTATTTAAAAATTATTAAAAATGCCAACTCAACTGCCACGTAAGCAAGTAACCTGCTAAAATTGATGGTAACCTGCTATCCAGTGAAATTGCATACGTTTGGAGAGTTCAGTGGCTTAATTGCACGTTTTTGGAGTGTTCAGTGGTCTAATTGCACTTTTTTTTCGTTCAGTGGCCTAATTGCATTTTCAGGTTACGTTCAATGGCCAATTTGAACCTTATTCCTAAATTATTTGTATATTTCATATATACCTTAAGATTGTCACCTCTACAATATCATACTTTACTTTTATGAATCTTGCGAACCCTCATCCAAATAAGTTGTAGAAGGAGATTCTTAGCTAAGTCAACTCAATATGATCAGATTTCAAAATAAACTGTCCAACAACATTTGAAATCATATTTTATTTGAAATTCCATTTGACAAATATACCAACCAAATCAAGATAAGGTTTCTTTCATCAGCTAGCCTCACCAATTGACAAAATTCCCAAATTAACATAAGCAATTCATCCCTTCTCTTATTTGTTTATCTTTCATCCATGATGACAATTTTTTTTAAAATATCGTGAACAATCCCCCTAATGGGGATGCTCTTACAGAATTATAACCATTATCTTGATTTGGTATATTTGTCAAATAAGATTTCAAATTAAACTATCCGGCATTTCAGATCATATTTTATTTGAAATCTCATTTCACAAATATGTCAAATCAAGATAATAGATATGTTCTATGACCTCAAGTTGGATATTTTGTATTTTCTTCTTTTCTAGCACCTTCATAACTAAAAGAAATGTAGCTGTCATGCAAAATAGAAGCATTATGTTTAATTTTGTTGATACAATTAAACTCAAACAAAATCTTATCTATAATAAAGCCAGATGTGTTGCCCACAAAAAAATGGCTCCAATTCCCGCCCAAGCAATACGACAACGTTTGGTAAAAGCCTATATTTGTGCAAAATCCCAGATATTCCACTCAGCTTTTACAAGCCAACATTATTATCTACATTCTTCCAGGCTATAAATACATATTACCATCCATTATACAGACCTGAGTTTAACTATTTCTAAGTTTTACTTTTCAAATGATTATTGCTTTTCTATACACAAGCATCAGCGAATATGAAGAAGATAACAACATCAACGGTTATTGGTAGCAAGAGGAAAGTACAATCGAATGGAAAAGGTTAGTTCACAGTCTATTAATCTTTATTACTGTAATAGTTCACAGATCCGTTCAGATATAAAACATGCATGTTCCGATAACATTACAAAGATCTGTAGAAATAAGAGTTTAAATACACGTGTTTAGTTTATTTAAATCTAATAGAAGTTACTTTCTGAAGTAGAGTTGTAAATTCATAACCAGATCGAGATGAAGGAAATATAATATCGAAGAAATAAACTGTAATAGAATTTTAGATCAAACTGAAATTTTAGTTTCTGAGTATAGTGAGTACATTTTCCGGCTGTTGGTAGTCCAAGACTAGCTTCGTCGAGTTAGCCTGCGATTGAGAGTACTCAGATTAAATGTGAGGCTAAATGTGAGATGAAGAGACTCATGAGATAGCTTCTAGAGTACAATCGCTATGAAGATGAGGGAGGCGGAGTACTGAAAAAAGCTATGAAGATGACAGAGATTTGGAGGAGTAATGAAAAAAGTGAGGAAGAAGTGGGTGGAGTGTTCTAGAACTAAATAGATATGGCAAAAAAATAAGGAAATCTGGTAGGATCGGATGACAGAGATCTGGAGGAGTAATGAAAAAAGTGAGGAAGAAGTGGGTGGTGTGTTCTAGAACTAAATAGATATGGCAAAAAAATAAGAAAATCTGGTAGAAAATCTGTATATATATATATATATATATATATATATATATATATATATATATATGAATTGATTTAAATAATTATTTGCATTTAAATTTTATTTTTTTATTGGTAGCAAGAGGAAAGTACAATCGAATGAAAAACGTTAGTTCATAGTCTATTAATCTTTATCACTATAATAGTTCACAGATTTGTTCAGATATAAAACATGCATGTTCCGATTACAAAGATCTGTAGAAATAAGAGTTTAAATACATGTGATTAGTTTATTTAAATCTAATAGAAATTACTTTCTGAAGTAGAGTTGTAAATTCATAACCAGATCGGTTCTGGTAAGATTGATCGGATATATGTATATATATATATATATATATATATATATATATATATATATATATTTTGATTTAAATAATTATTTTCATTTACATTTATTTTTTTAATTGTATTTATTTTGTTTGTGTAGAAAATTGTTCTCCAGAATCTTTTAATAAAGGAGCCAGCTCAAGTTCATCATTAGTGTACGGAGTTTTCCAAGGTTCACTATCTACTCCTTTCAGTGTGTTGACCAATGGTTAGTATAGTTTTCTATTCTTTAATTTTATACTATGTTTTCAAATACAATAAGATAAAAATATGATATTTTTCCAGGTGTAGAGCTTTTTCAAACAACAATCAAAAATACATATGATAATTCGTCATTTGTTGAAGGAACCCGCAAGTCATTTCGGACTAATAGTAAAAGTACTCCAGTTACTATTAATAATCATGGTGAGATTAAAATATGAATGTTTGTAAATATATTTATCTTAATTTCACATACTGAATAACATTAATATTTTGTTATGATCAATGTTATCTTCAATTTTGAAAACAATGTTTTTAGCTCTCAGAACTTGCAGGTGCAACTCAAGATAAATCATGTTGAGATTAAAATATGAATGTAAATATATTTATTTTTGAAACACTTGCAGGCACAACTCAAGATAATGTATATTCTACTTTACCGCTAACTGATGTGACAAATGGTAATTATGTACAACAACATTATTAAAATTTCGTCTGGCATTATTATGAACTAATATCTTAATTGTCATTTTATATTACAGTGAATTTGACAAGTCGAACTATCCGGCATACACGATCTAGGTTATCTACGATGATATGTAGGGACAATAATAATGTTGAAGAAAATACCAGTAAGAAAATTAATATTTTTTAAATTTATTTGTATACTTTGTTCTTAATTAAATATAATTAATTCATTCAAAGTACCTTCAAATGTTGTAGGTAATGTTGATACTTCAAGTCAGTTTAACCAGCTTTCCAATAAAATTAGTGCACAAGAATGTAATACATCATCATTCCACATTCGAGACCTGAGTAGAGATTTTGAAGAGGCTGCAGTAACAGTCATCGACTCTGGTAAAGATTATTAATTATACATTAAGTTTGTGTTCGTATAGTAGTTGTCATCACAATTAGAAACATTATTCCGTATTTTATATGTTTGCAGATGAATACGCTGATTTGGGTGACGCGCTTCATTGCTGTGAATATTGTTCTGCACTATTTTGGTTTGATGAACGTTTAAAGCAGTCTAGGGTTAATGGACGTCCGAAATACTCATCATGCTGTGGTCATGGCAAGATTGGATTGCCCACTATTACTGTCCCCCCTAAAAAATTGTTTGATTTATTCTTTACACCAGGGGATAAAAGAAAACATTTTTTGGAAAACATTAGATCTTATAATAGCATGTTTTGTTTCACATCAATGGGTGCAAGGATTGATAATTTAATAAACAGTGGTGGTGCACCGCCTACTTTTAGAATAAATGGTCAAAATTTTCACTTGATTGGGAGTCTTTTGCCACCGAATGGTTGCCAACCTAAGTTTGCACAATTGTACATTCACGATACAGAACATGAAATTTGTAATCGTATTAGCTCTGTAAGGTAAATCTTAACGTTCATATTCATAAATCTTTTTTTAATGTTCGTAAATAATGTTATTTTCTTATTTAGTTTAATTTTATTCTCTTTATTTTGTGTAGGAAAGACAACAATCAATCAAATTTACATGTTGACGTTGTTTCTGACATTCAAGAAGCTCTGGATGAAAACAATGTGTTAGTGAAGTCCTTCCGTAATGCTAAGTCTCATATTGAAGCTAACCCACAATTGGAGATTAAAATGAGGCTAATTGGTAGAAGATCTACAGATGCAAGAATTTATAATTTACCCACGGTTTCAGAGGTTGCGGCATTGATTGTGGGAGACTTAGATCTATCTATAGGTGAACGTGATATATTGGTTGAGTCTCAATCTGGTCAATTAAAAAGGATAAGTGAATTGAACCCTGCTTACTTGCCATTGCAATATCCACTATTATTCCCATACGGAGAAGATGGTTATAGGGAGGATATCCAATTTGCTGGACAATATGCAAATAAACAAGGGGGTAGGCAACGTATATCACCGAGAGAGTACTTTGCTTTTAGGATGCATGATAGAATAAGTGAGGTATCAACCTTACTTTATGCTAAACGACTCTTTCAACAATATTTAGTGGATGCATACACCATGGTGGAATCTGGTAGGCTTATTTTCATAAGGACACACCAAAAAACTTTGAGATGTGAAGCTTACAAAGGTTTGTCAGATGCGTTGACACGAGGAGAGATACAACCTAGCACACAAGGGAAGCGTATAATTTTACCATCAAGTTTTACTGGTGGTGCTAGGTATATGATTCAGAATTACCAGGATGCAATGGCCATATGTCGGTGGATAGGATATCCAAATTTATTCATTACATTTACATATAACCCGAAGTGGCCTGAGATTAAACGTTTCATGGAAACCCGGGACCTGAGGGCTGAAGATAGGCCTGACATTGTTTGTAGGGTATTTAAAATGAAATTAGACGCTCTAATCAAAGATTTGAGAGAAGGTGATGTGTTCGGTGCAGTTAAGGCAGGTTTGTACAACCGCATGTTATTATAATTATTTTTCTTATTTATTTATACATACCAAAAAAAAGTTTATTCTTACATTAGAATTCTTTTTTTTATGCAGTTGTTTACACCATAGAATTCCAAAAACGTGGCTTACCACATGCACACATTTTGCTGTTTCTAGCAAAAAAGGAACAAACAAGTTCAGTGGAATTCATGGATTCAATTATATCAGCAGAGATACCTTGCAAAGACTTGGATCCACAATACCATGATGCAGTGCAAGAATTCATGGTACATGGGCCATGTGGTAGTGTTAGGAAGCAATCTCCTTGCATGGTAAATGGGAAATGCTCCAAGTACTTTCCCAAGAAGTTTGTTGATTGTTCCAGCTTTGATGATGATGGCTATCCAATATATAGGCGTCGCGATGATGGTTTAACAATCCAAAAAAATGGAATTCACTTGGATAGCAGGTATGTTGTACCACACAATAGATATTTGCTTCTAAAATACAAGGCACATTTAAATGTGGAGTGGTGTAATCAATCAAGGTCTATCAAATACCTATTCAAGTATGTGAATAAAGGTAATGACCGTGTTACTGCAGAGTTTTATAAAAGTACGACGGACGAACATGGCAATGAAGTCATAGATGAGATCAATATGTACTATGATTGTCGATACGTTTCTTCGTGTGAAGCTTCATGGCGTCTGTTGAGTTTTGATGTGCAGTACAGGACGCCAGCTGTTGAGAGACTAAGCTTTCACCTTCCAGATTGTCAGTCGATTATTTTTGAAGATGATGATACCGTCGACAATGTTTTAAATCGACATACTGTTGGTCAAAGTATGTTCAGTGGGTGGTTTGAAGCGAACCAAAAATATGCAGATGCAAGGTTATTAACCTATATTGAGATGCCGACTAAATTCGTTTGGAAAAAGGATTTAAGAGAGTGGCATCCAAGAAAGAAAGGTTTCTCAATTGGTCGCATCTTTTATGTTCCACCTGGTACTGGTGAATTATATTATTTGAGATGCCTTCTTAATATAGTTCGTGGTCCTACGAGTTTTGAAGAAATACGCACATTTAATGGGGTCGTGCATAACTCTTTTAGAGATGCGTGTTATGCACGTGGCTTATTAGAAGATGATAGAGAGTACATTGATGCAATTGAAGAGGCGAGTCATTGGTCATCTGCGCACTCATTGAGAAAATTATTTGTTACATTGTTGATATCTAATTCTTTTAATCGGCCAGAAATTGTTTGGAATGATGTGTGGCTTTATCTTTCTGATGATGTACAATTCAACCAACGGAAATTGCTTTCTCAACCAGGTGCTTTGAAACTTTCTTATTATGAAGTTTGTACTAATAAGTTGAAGAAAATCTATACTTTTATATAATGATTATTCTTATTTTCTTGCAGATCTCATTTTAACAGATGATGAGAAGAAAAATCTAGGTTTAATGGAATTGGAAAAGTTGTTAAAAGTATACAATAGATCTCTAAAAGATTTCCCTACAATGCCAATTCCGAGTTTAGATGATTCACGTTTAAATGTGAATCGATTGTTGTTTGAAGAGTTATCGTATGATCGTGAAGCCCTTGCAGAAGAGGCCACTACCTTGACAAATCAAATGACTGATGAACAAAGAATTGTATTTGATACAATAACTGAAGATGTTTCAACTAATGGTGGTGGTCTATTTTTTGTATACGGGTACGGTGGAACGGGGAAGACATTTTTATGGCGAGCTTTATCTGCCACATTGCGGTCTAAAGGTGATATTGTCATCAATGTTGCATCGAGTGGAATTGCTTCACTACTCCTACCAGGTGGAAGAACTGCACACTCAAGATTTGCAATACCCATATCTATCAATGAGGACTCAACATGTAATATTAAACCAGGTAGCGATCTTGCTGAGTTAATTTTGAAGACAAAGTTAATAATTTGGGATGAAGCACCAATGATGCACAAGCATTGTTTTGAAGCCTTGGATAGAACATTAAGAGACTTATTAAGATTTTCTAATCCTTCAAGCGCAAATGATACTTTTAGTGGCAAAACTGTGGTTTTAGGTGGAGATTTTAGGCAGATCTTGCCGGTGATTCCAAAAGGTACAAGGCAAGACATTGTTGGAGCGACTATAAACTCTTCTTATCTTTGGAGTAGTTGTAGAGTTCTAAGGCTGACTAAGAATCTCCGTTTGCATCAAATTGATTCTGATGAAGAAATGCAACAAGTTGCACAGTTTGCTAATTGGATTGCCGATATTGGTGATGGTACAATTGATGGGTCAAATGAAGATTGTCCTGATATTGAAATTCCGAAAGAGTTGTTGTTGGAACCAAATGGTGACCCTATTGCCACGATCGTGGATAGTACATTCCCAATGTTCAAGAATGGAACTTGTGACAACACTTTTTTAGAAAAGCGTGCAATTTTGGCACCTACACTTGATGTTGTTAATTCCATTAATGAATACATGAGTAACATACATGTTGCAGAGAGCAGAACTTACCTTAGTTGCGACACTGTATGTCGAACTGAGTCTAATAATGGCATTCTGGCAGATGTGCACACACCGGAGTTCCTAAATGGGTTGCGAGTATCTGGCATTCCTAACCATTCTTTGGCGTTAAAGGTGGGTTCACCTGTGATGTTATTGAGGAATATAGATCACACACTTGGTTTATGCAATGGAACTAGGCTGATAGTAACCAGGTTGTCAGAACATGTCATAGAGGCCAAACTAATGTCAGGTAACCATATTGGTACAAGGGTTTTAATACCTAGATTGACAATGACTCCTTCGGACCCTAGATTGCCATTCAAGTTCAATAGAAGACAATTTCCGGTAACGCTCTCATATGCAATGACCATAAATAAGAGTCAAGGACAAACACTTTCTCATGTAGGTTTGTTACTTAAGAAACCCGTGTTTGTACATGGTCAGTTGTATGTTGCTCTCTCAAGAGTTAGTAATCCACAAGGTCTCAAGATTTTAATTTGTAATGAGTTAGAACATGGATGTACTTCCACCATTAATGTGGTTTACAAAGAAGTATTTAATAATTTATAATATTCATTATCTTTAGATTCAAATGATAATTATTCTTTTATGTTACACTAACTACACATTTATTTTTTATATACATTTTTTATATTCTAACAATTATACTTGGAAATTTATTTTGTCGTAGATTATATTCTTTTCATGTAATTTTTCTAATATTTTATTAACACAGTATAACATGAATTTTAAAAGTCATTCCCCGTGCATCGCACGGGTATCATACTAGTATATATAAATACATAAATACAAAATATGAGTTTTAGGAAAGATCAACCAAACATTTAAAAGTGTTCCTAACTTTTGTTACCTTCTCATAATCAATAACTTGCCAACATACCCATTCAACTTTAGCAGCATCATATCACCCGTATTATGGCTCAAAACATAGAATTAGAATGAGACCAAATAAAAAACTCCTAGGCCAACAACATATTTAGTCCTATATAGCGTGGACCACAAAATGAGAAAACTTTCTTTGATCAACACATTTCCACACACAAAACACCAGTTACTCCATTTTCAATCAACAAATCAAATTTCACCACACTTTTCCTTTAACCAATTTAATTGCATTGTAATAAGAGTTTGAGATCGATATAAAAACTCTACTAACACAAACAAGAATAAGGTAAAATGCTTCTTTTCATGAGTCAGGATTCTTTGAAACATGCTTTAACAAGCTAAGAAAGAAAAGTTTAATTCATTTTCAGACACAAAATAGTTCACTAAGCACCAAAAAAAAAAAAAAAAAAAAAAAAAATTGGAAAGAGAGACATAGAGAGAAAGGATTGAATGATGCTTCCCATTTCTCAGCCCAAGCAAAAATAGCATAAGCCCAAAGTCTATAGTCCTATATCTGGCACCTCTGTTCATACCCGAAATCCAGCTCTTAGTCCAATCTTTTATGCTTGGAAATTCAATTCAATTCAATTCAAGAATAGCTTATAGCTCTCCTGAGCTGCCCCTTTTACTTCAATGGCCTCCGGGAAATGGAGGAACACTGCTCTTCTCATCATAGATATGCAGGCACGCATTTCACTCTTCATTTTCTTTCAATTTCTTTTTTCATACACTAATTTTGTTTATTGGTTTTCTGCAGAATGATTTCATATTACCAGGTGGCCCTATGCACGTTGGGGGTGCCCAAGCTATCGTCCCCAACGTTATTAAGGCCGTTGAGGTTGCAAGAAACCGTGGCATCCCCATTATTTGGGTACCCTTTATACCACTCTCAATCATTTGCTCTTGCTTTTACTTCATTCATTCCAAGTTTGTATTTTTATGTATAATTCTTGAAATTTGGTAGGCATTTCATTTGTAAGCTTTGGAGTTCTTTTATGCTTGTGGAAACTTGACTCCTATGCTGAAATGGGATTTGATTAGGGTTAAAACATCATGCTGTTAAAAGTAATCTTCTTGGGATTGTGCTTCAGTTGCATTTAAGATGGCATCAAGATCACATTTAGAATAAAACCTCTTTGAATATTTAGCATAGAACAGACTCTGATACTATGTTATAATCTACTCAATTAGGCTAAAACCAACTAAAAGATTGAATCCAACTCATTAGCTAGTCATGGCCTTATAAATCTATATATTATCTCTTATTTTATCAATGTGGGACTGTTAACAGTAATGTATATGAGTCAAAGCAACACTTTAGTGATAGTGTGACACTTTAAATCCATTTCTTAGGACTCTCAACATTTTGGAATTTAGAATCAGTAAAAGTTGTGAAAATTGGTGGTAGGTCGTCCGTGAGCATGATCCATCGGGAAGAGATGCTGAGTTGTTTCGAAGGCATTTGTATTCCCCCGGGAAGCCAAAACCGACTTCTAAGGGGAGTGTGGGTGCTGAACTAGTTGATGGGCTTGTTATCAAGGAAGGGGATTACAGATTGGTGAAGACGCGTTTCAGTGCCTTCTTTAACACAAACCTGCATTCATATCTTCAAAGCAATGGGATTACCAGCTTAGTCATCACCGGTATAAAATATAAATCAACTTCCAACAAGAAACTTGAGTTTTTGTTGTGTTTCTCCGTATTGAGTCCTGAACTTTCTTATTACTATTTAGGTGTTCAAACGCCAAATTGCATTAGGCAGACGGTTTTTGATGCAGTTGCATGGAACTATCAGCCCGTAACTGTTATTGTTGATGCAACGGCTGCTGCAACACCAGAAATTCACACTTGTATGTAAAATTACCTCACCCAACACCATCTCTACAAATTCAGGATTTACATTACAATCATTCTCAGTCTTTACCAAAGATTTTCTCGGTTCTTGATTTCCTTGTACTTCTTTTAATAATAGACATCATTCATATCTTAAAAGCATAGAATCAAACACGATTCTTGTTCTCCTGGGATTTACTTTGTTTTATCTATTTCCCAATGCAGAGTAGATGAAAATGCTTTCTTGAATTTGTAACTGTCAAAAGTGCATGAACTTAAATAAATTTCTTTTTGCCTGTAACCTTACATTTAGCCAAAACATCCTTTGGTGGTGCAAAAATTCATGTCTCACATGTATGTTTTTCTTTGAAACAGCAAACATATTTGACATGAAAAATATTGGAGTGATGACGCCCACACTTGAGGAATGGTGCGAATCCGGACACTAAGAAGTATTGGTGCTGGAAGTGTCTCTCCTGCTACACCAGTTGTTAATACTCTTGTGTTTTGTAAAAGAGAAATAAAATGTTTTGAAGTATCTTCTGGAAAACACTACTGTTGTTATTTGTAATGTGCCAAATAAACATGTATGGTTGTAAGAATATTAACCAAAAAACAGAACCTAGTTGCTATTGGCTGTTGTCAAAAAATAGCCATTTTTATAAAAAATGCTTTCATTGAGAGTTGAACTCAAGACCTCCCGCTTACTAAACGGGTGCTCTAACCAACTGAGCTATGAAAGCTTGATGTTGTAGTTTTTTGCTAGTAGTTTAAAATAGAGCAGAAAAGTACCCTCTCTAACCAATACTCTCCTTTCATTTTTCTTGTGATATTTGTACTAAATTCCCTATTTGTTTGTGAAAATTCTGCTTTCGATTTAAAGTTTTGAAGCGAGTAGGATCCAGAGTTTTTGGTGGTGTAGGAAAATGGATATGAAGAAGTGGTGGTACCTTGGGTATGTAATGTTTAAGGCTGAGATTATCCCAGTAAATTTAAGCTTTGTAAGATGACATTGATGATGACATGGAAGCACAATATTATTTTCTTTTATTTTTTTACTGCCATCTGTCTAGCAACTTGCAGAATTAGCAAGTTTGCTAGGCAGCTTTTTGCTGCCAATGGCAGCTTTATTTGACTTTTTTGTTCTTTTCTATTTTTAATCTCTTTTATTATTATTATATTATTATATTTATAATATAATATGAAAGTGGGACCACTTTAGAAAGTGAGAGAATATTGCAGGGATGTAGTGTGAATAGTAGATGATTTGCAAATAAGATGATGTGGAAGTAAGACCCACTTTTGAGAGTGGAAGAGATTTGCAGGGATAATGTTAGCCTAAGAGTATTCATATTAGTGAATTATTCACGGTTTTTGAGATAAAAATTGTCAACATGGAAAAAAGAGAATGCATAGAGTCCTACTAATTTGGGATTTTTGTCAGCTTGTGGGGCCCAGTTGATGAGAGGAATAGCAAACGTTTAGTTGCGTGAAGAACAACCCGTGCACGTTGGGTGCGTTAATACATTGTCTGTTTTTTTTTTCCCTCTAATTCAGCTTTGTGTTTTTTTTCCTCCATTATATGTTTTCTCATATTTTCTCTTTCCTAATCACACCTACAAAAACTACTCAAAAATCACACAAAAAATCTCACTATTGAGGATGCCCTAATCATAGTAATCATCTGGAAATTCAACTCCATACCTTCCAATTAATAATGATGTAATATGATTTTCCCAACTTATTATGTATCAAGTTATCAGAGACCAAGTTGATAGAAGTTTGAGTTATTATGTGGGTAGAATTCTTAAACCACAAATTTGAGGTGTTAATAGAGGTAAATTTTGAGAAAAGAGACCAATGTTTGAATCTCGACAACGGTAGTAGGGATTATATCTAAAGTAGACAAATCTCTTGTCCACACCGACATTTGGCCATATCTACTGAGCTATTGAGTCCACGTGATTTATATCCTTTCAAATGTTATGTCGGGCCGAGATGTGGAGCCCTGGGATTGAGGATTTAACCTTTTGGGAGAAAGAGGCTTTACCGTTAGAGTAAGAGAAATAAATTTGAGAATAAATTAACTATGGCTTGGGACTTGCATCCCGGCCTTATGTTAAATGAAAAAAAAAAATCTTAAAATATAAGAAACTCCGTAGGGACTTGCGTTTCTTTTACTAGAAAGACAAGTACTAATAGAATTTTTCCTAAGTCAAAAACTAAGTACACATCAAGTATTATTTACTTCTACTACCCCAATTAGAAAAAACAATAATGAAGGTTAGATTCTACAAAGCATGCCAGCCAACTTGGAAGACAAGAACAAGGCCATTTTCCATGTGCTCATCATCCTCTTACACAAACTCTCAAAATACATAAAATTTGTGGGAAGTTGTATATACCATGCGTTCATGAGTTTACAATAATAATATTATAATAATCATAATCAACCTCATAAGAAAGTTCAGATCTAATAAAAAGTTGCAGAATTATCTTCATGTCATATTACCAACCCAATCAACACAAACAAGGAAGCTCACATGCATACTAGGTTAGTGGAAATCCGAAATATAACTTGGCCCAGCTAAAACCTTTTGAGAAATGCTTTCATTGAGAGTTGAACTCAAGACCTCCCACTTACTAAACGGGTGCTCTAACCAAGAAAGCTTGATGTTACAAATTTCTGCTGTTAGTTTAAAATATAGCAGAACAGGACCCTCTCTAACCAATGTTGCTTGTCTTTTTTGGGTGATATTTGTACAAAACTCCCTATTTGTTTGTGAAAATTCTGCTTTCTATTTAAAGTTTTGAAGTGAGTAGGAACCAAAGTTTTGGTCGTGTATCATGTGTGTAGGAAAATGGATGTGAAGAAATGGTGGATGGTACCCTGGGTATGTAATGCCTGATCAAAGTAACCATTTTTGGAAATTCAACTCCGTACCAATTCCAACTAATTGTGATATAATATCATTTTCCTACCATATATCAAGTTATCCGTCTAGATTGATGGCAACCCCAGTTGAGTTGGTCGAACAATTGACTTGATAACTATAAAGTTTTGTGAGATAATGTAAGCAATAAAAGACAAAGATTGTTAGAAAATAGGTGTGGGTCGGATGAGGGTAATGAGCCAAAACCTTCAACCAACGCTTGAGATCATTTTAAATGTAAAACGTGCTTAAAGAGCTTCCTTTGTGTTTTTGTATGTTGTATCCTTGTAGCTGATAACTTGGTAACTGTTTCCTTTCTTTCTCTCTTGCTATTTGAACACATTTTGGCCTTTTATCTAGACAAAAATTCAATTATCGTCATCACTCAAATTTCTCTTCAGTTCCTTCTTGTTCACCTAAAATCGGGAAGAAGGGACTGAGATAAGTATGTATTCTTGTTTTGATCATTTAGAAGGACAACAGAAAAGAATCAGGAATGAATGTAACCTTTCCCATGGCATTGCGAGGTAGTGAATCCCAAACATAAAGGCGTGAGGGCATCTGCAACGCGTCATAATATAGTTTCAAACTAGCTTAAGTAGTTAAGTTCATCCTCGTTTGCAATTTCAATGGCAGGTTAAAACGACTATAGCAGAACGTAGATGCATTCGAGATAAATGACAAAATAATAATAAGCAACACCACGATTGCTTCAAGAATGATAACTAAGAATGAGAATGCGAGCAATACCTTGTAAGGGGCAAGTTTCTCCTTAGCCCAATCAAGAAGTTCTTGCAAGGTGAGAGCGGGCTTTGATTCTGCTTCACATTTTTGCTTGAGATCTGCGTCCACCACAACAATTGCGCACACAACTTCCCCGTAATCTTTTTCGGGTAAACCCAACACACAGCACTCAGATATTACCGGATGCTGTTGAAAGGAAGTTCTGTTAAGTGAAAACTAACATGTTTCTAACCAAATGTCTTACGAGAGGAAGAATAGTAAAATCAATTGAAGCATGTGCTCCATCTCAACTAAAAGCCTAAGCTGATAGTTGGATTGCACATTTATATGCTCAACATGCCCCTCACGTGTGCGGGCCAATTACTTTTGACCTTTGGCATAACTCTGATACCAAATTGAAGCATGTGCTCCATCTCAACTAAAAGCTTGCTTAAGCTCATAGTTGGATTGCATATTAATGGTTATATGCTCAACAAAATCTTCTAGTCGCGTAACCAGTTTTGTATTATCGTGTAGCTAAGCATTTCGGAGGAAGGATAAAGAGTAAGATGAAAGGATGAATAGAAACCTCCAAGAGAACGGCTTCTATTTCCAGTGCAGATAACTTATATCCACCAACCTTCATTATATCAGCATTGGTACCTGAAAAATGCAAGGATTTTGAAGCCAGTTATGTCGAGTGCTCTCATAAGCCAACACAAGTTGACATATACTCTGTCAAAAAAATGCTTACGGCCCAAAATGATATAGTATCCATCTTCATTGACTCTAGCAAAATCTCCAGTCTTGAAAAACCCATCATCGGTAAATGACTCTTTGGTAACCTAACAAGCATTTGATATTAGAAAACAATCGTATCAAATGGCACCGAGACACTGAAATTCCAAATATAAAAAGCTCAAAACCTCGGGAAGTTTCCAGTATCCTTTAAACAATGAAGGGCTTTTGATGCAGAGCTCGCCCACCGCTGTTTTGTCATCACCGTTCACATCCTCTGATAGGAGCTTGGCCTATCGGAAACCAAGGAAATAAGACAATATCCAACACCAATTTGCTAAGGGAAGAGTATCCAATTTGTGCTCTTATAACTACGAACTATGAAATAAGACACACTCACCTGTACGCCTGCAAATGGCTTGCCCACAGTACCTCCTTTGCGGTGACCTCTTAGGGGATTAGAAATCGCCATTACAAACTAAAAGGCTTTGCCGTTAGAGCAAGCATGGAAGTAACTTTGAGAACAAATTAAATGGACAATACTAATATAGCATCTTAACTCTTAATAAAGACATGACCGAAAAGTTAAGTGCATATACCTCAGTCATGCCATATCGCTCTAAAAGGCGGTGCCCGGTGATTGTTTCCCACTGTTGCATTACAGGAAGAGGAAGTGCAGAGGAGCCACACATCTGGAAATACGGTATGCAGTGGGTAAAAGAGAAGATTATGGGACAATTGCTCACAAAGATGGTGTCAACAGCACCCCCCCCCACCCCCACCCACCCACCCGTCTCCCAAAAAAAAAACAAACAAACAAATGCCAAGCACGTTGTACTCAGATGGCATGTAGTGACTCTCCCATATGAGAGGTCATGAGATCGAGCCTCAGTGGAGGCGGTGTTGACTCTTTGTACTTCAACAGGTTGAGAAAGTATAGATGAACAGATACTACACTATAATAGAGCCAGTACTATTCAAAAAAAAAAAAAAAAAAAAAAAAAAAAACAAACAAACAAACAAACAAACAAAAAGGGACCAGGGGTTGGGGGTGGCTTTCTCATTCAAAATTATGTTCCCAGTAGTCTACTTACCATAAGGCGAAAGTGCCTTGCTGCTGAAGCAGAAGCTGTTTGTAATTCTGTATCCATTGCTTCATAACCTTGAATAAGCCGTGTATACATGGTAGGAACCTAAATGATGAGAAAATCAAAATGAAATATAAACATCAAGAAAACTTTATAAAAGCTAATAAAAACAGAAATACAATCTAAACAAGCTGTAAAGACTGCAGCTATTGTTGGACCAAATAGGACACTATAACAAACACAAAGAACAATTAGGGCAAGTTTTGAAAGGGTCACGGTGGGGGTGGTGCAGAAGTAATGCCGTGACATCAGGCGTTCTGTAAATTCTTAGACAATATAACGAGCAGTCGAGCATGCTGATGTAAACATTTAAGAGTAGATTAGCGCATATTAGATCATTGTAGTTAGCATTTATTCTGACTCAATCTTTGATGAGAACTAAAGCCAAAGAAATGTTTAGCCATGGAAACTTCAAGAATTATAGGCAACGACCAAAAAAAAAAACAAAAACAAACAAAACAAAACAAAAATTATGATCATACCATAAAATGACCACAATATTCATTAGCTTGCAGAAATGAGCATACTTACTCCAGTGAATACTGTTATTGCATCATCAGATTTACTCCCATCTATAGGATATGATTCACGCCATCGCTGCCAAATTCCTCTCACACTGAATTTTGGCATGAATTCAACCTTCAAAAATGCAAAGCAGGTACATGACTATGAGGGTATTGCAACCAAGCAGAACGGATGTTGTAGGTGAAAGTCCAAAATCAGTAAAGTACATAATAAAACCGATTTTAACTAAATAATTTGATTCATAGAAGTTACCTTGGAACCTGCATAGATAGGTGCAAATAAAGCATTAAAAAGCCCATGCACATGTTCATCGAAAGTTAAGGATTGGCATATTAATCTTCAAGCCAAGCTAATCAAATAAGAATGATGCAAAAGCACAGATGGGTGAGTATAATATAACGCGGAAAATTCTGTAGTTCTGTACAATTAAATATAGCATTTTTGGATATGGTGTAGAGGTAGACAGTTCAGGAAATGATCATTGGATGTGTATTCCCATGCGTTTGTTAACATTTGGACCTGAACAACAAAAATTTATAAATTGTAAATGCACAGAAAATAAAGCAAATTGTTCAAATACAAAATACATTATATATCTATCATTGTGCCTAAGGAAGCATAAATGAACATAATTTCTGAAGCACACCTGTGCTAGGATGGTTGTATGTGTGTGCACAACTCCTTTTGGTCTCCCCGTAGTACCACTAGTGTACAAAATCAATGCTGGGTCCTCTCCTACATTATTACAGGAAATAATAAAAAAGACACATTGTATCTAAACTCCACAATTAAAAAAATTAATCAAATAACAGTATAGTAAACTAGAGAGTAAGCACATCATATTAACCTTGTATATTTTGGGATAATTCAAATTGCGGCACTCTTTTACCACCATTACTCTCAATGTGTGACTGTGTATGATCAGTGGATGAAATGGGAATGGGGGGAAGGAAAGACAATTGAGCGCCAGTCTTAGCTGCAACATTGGTCATAATATCCCGATGATCTTCAGTACTCAAAATCATAGAGATGTCCTAACAGTCAAAATGATATAAAAATCCAACCAAATTAGTAATGGATGGAAATAAATGATACCGAGTACATAAACATCACATATTAACTACGGCTTATGGAACGAGAGATAAAATATTATAATCAGCCTCATTAGAGATGATAATCATCTCAAGTAAGGACTAAGGAGTTCGGAGTCCAATAAAAAGCACCATACGAAGTACACATTAAGTATTATTTACTTCTACCACCCCAATCAGCAAAAACTACAAGGTTAGATTCTACAAAACATGGAAAGACTTAAGCTGGCAGGAAAATATTAAACAAAAATTGTGGAAACAAAGGGCACACCGAATCATTCATCACGTGTACGAGCTCAGTTTCTGGGTAGCTTAAAGCAAGAGGGACAGCTACACCTCCACAAAGCCAAGTCCCCAGTATTCCAGCAACAAACTCAGCACAGGGTTTAGCCACAATTCCAATTCTTGCTCCACCAAGATCTTTCTGTTGTATACTATCTCCCTACAAGAAAGAAAGGATAAGTTGCAAACAACAAAGAAATTGCAAATGGTAGTCAACTGCAAAGAATGTGAGCCTCGGAGAAAAGAAGGAAGTGAAACAAAGAATCTAGAAAACATAATTTCTTCTAAATTCTAAAACTAAATACAAGTAGCTTGAGCCAGCTGACTTGCTACCATTCTCTTTGAGATGATGACCATGAAATAATAAAAGGTCGTTTCAAACTCACATTTTTCTGGTGAAGATTGCTTAACTGATCATGTATCCTTCCAGCATATGAGATTAGTTGAAGGTAACTACAGCACTTCTGATCATCTTTAATGACAATATTCTGCTGAGATTCAGGCGACCAGCTAGCTATTTCTTTAACAAGCTCCATAAATGTACTAATATGTGGAGCTGTAAAGTAAATGAAATTGTAAATTGCAAACAAGGAATGCTATCTATAATCCAAATAACAGAAATGGATGCAAATTATGCTAAGAGGCACAGAGCTATATAACCAGTAAAGCACAAATTCAGAACTGCTATATCAGGGAGTCATCAATGTTTCAAGATACAATATTTTCATCCATTAAGCAATCATCTCCTGATTCTCCTCCCCCAAACTATAGAACTGTCTTTTGGCAAACACACTGAGAATCCCCATCTCTGTTTTCCTGTTCATTAGTATGAAATATTTCACTGCTAACCCACATTAACATTCAATTACACATTGCTCAGAACATTCCATACCCAAACTAAACAACAAAGTCCTTTTCGCGCATCAAAATTCAAAAATATGCTCAACTTTATGCACTTCATAACATAAAGTAACCAAAAAACAGTGAGGGTGTCAATTTTCATTCAAGAAAAGAAACAAACACTTACCAGGAGAGAGGAGGCGAGACTGGTTGGAGATAAAGCTGCGGCCTTTGCAAGAAAATAAACGAGTACCAAATGAAGTAATGGTATAATGGTGACGAAGAGACGTGGGTGGTTTCAGTTTGAGAGTGAGAAAGTGATTGAAGCGGGACATAAATGAGCTTATCATCGTGTTAAAGATTAGTTGCTTGCTGGTAAAGATTAAATAAAATTTATGGCGACTCAACCATAATGGTGGCGAAGTCACTGCAATGTGACGTGGAAGACGTCGGCGGCTCCGGGTTTTGCGCTTTTGGTCGGAGATGGGTCAAGTTCCGGTTTAGGGAGTTTAATATTTGTGAAATCAGCGGGCTCTCAGAGTCGCAGTCATTCACTTCTTCCCCACAACTCGAATCCCCACTGAAATTTCATTTTTGGTTTTTTTTTTTTTTTTTTTGTTTTTTAAGTTATAGTGTTTCACCCGTGTAACGGTGTAATGCATAGAACATAAAGGCCTTGTTTGGCAAACAGCGGTTAGCGTTAGCAGATTGTGTTAGCGGTTAACAAATAGCGGATTATGTTAGCAGGTTTGACTAGCGGATTATATTAGCGGTTTATAAAAAGATATTTGGTAAAATCAGCTGTTTAGATTAGCGGTTAACATGTAAAATGACTTAAAGGGTATACATATATTTAATATTTAATAATAACAATAATAAGAGTTTATTATCAAAATGGTCCCTCGACTATTACGAAATTACCAATTTGGTCCTCGACAATTTTTCTTGCCCAATTAAGTCCTTCAACTTTGAAAATGTTAACCATTTTGGTCCTCCATTAACATTCCATCCATGAGCTGTTAAATTTAAGGACATAAAGGTAATTTCATATATCTTATTTATTTAAAAAAAAAGTTTTTCTTCTTCATCGGCTTTCCACTCCTTAACCGTAAAGCTCCTGGAGTTTATTCAACAGAGTAGACTTTCTAGCTAGCCACCCTCTTCTTCCTCTGAAACTCTAGGTCATTCATGCTCCATCACCTCGAGGAGGCTGACCCACTTCTGCTCTTCCCCTTCTTCAGTTGCAGGGGTGGGGGTCACCTGAAATTTGCATAGTGGTAGCCTCTGTAGCTCTCCATCTAATACATATCATGTTGTCATGTTGATCATTATTCCTGCCCACCACTTCCACGCATGCGTCTCTCAAAACATTCAAAACCTCAACTTGGCAATCAACCAATGGATCCCCACACCGCAACTAGACACTAGAACCTTCAACCCCAGAGCTTTAACCTAATCAAAAATGTCGGGATTTGACCGAATCTCCACCATCGCATTGCAGTAAATGTGATCTCGATCAACGTCGGCCGGGAGTGCCGTCTCCCACATAAGATGATTTAGGCGCAAAGGAAATAGCTTGTCATCCACCGATCTTAGTTCTGATGCGGTCATCTCTTTCCCTCAGACATATGGGTGGTGTAATATCAGGCCTCTCATCTCTAATGGCTTCAACTCCGTACAACTCGAAGATGCGCTTAGACCCACGCGGTAGGCTACGTTGCCACCGACGCTTGTGCCCATTAGAAATTAAAATATTTAGAAAAGTCAACGTATTTTGCGAGCCACTCATCGTCGCTGTTCTTTATCCAATACAGTGCTTCCATACAATCATCATAGGTCGGCGGCAACCGGTGCTCCGGCGTGCGGCGGTACTCAACGAAGATTACCACCGCAGATACTTCATTGGCAATATGGCGATAAAAATCTTGGAAGTTAGGCGTGTCGACTTTACACACGACGAAGCCTCCACCGTGAAAATAGACTATGAGGGGCAGCTTGGATAGAGGCTGAGAACCAACAGCTTTTCTGGGTGGCTAGCTACAAAGTCTATCTTATTTATTAAAGAGTTTATTCCCAGGAGCTTTACGGTTAAGGAGTGGAAAACCAATGAAGAAAAGCTTTAATAAATAAGATATATAAAATTACTTTTATGTCCTTAAATTTAACAGCTCATGGATGGAATTTTAACGAGGACCAAAATGGTTAACATTTTCAAAGTCGAAGGACTTAATTGGGCAAGAAAAATTATCGAGGACCAAATTGGTAATTTCGTAATAGTCGAGGGATCATTTTGGTAATAAACTCTAATAATAATAATAATAATAATAATAATAATAATAATAATAATAATGTAAAAAAAATTTAAAAAAAATAATAAAGGGGAGCCGCTGTGCGACTCCCCTTTTGTAAAATTTGCTCCCCCACATATCCCACATCGGTGAGATAAGTGGGGGATGGAGCCTTGAGGCTCCTATAAAAGGAGCCTCAAGGCTCCATTTTTTTAGAATAGCTATGTCCATCAGCTGCCAGCGGATGGGCAGGCTCATTAGTTTTTTTTTTTTTTTTTTTTTATAAATTATTGTAAGGGTGTTTTGGGGAAATATAAATTATTTCCCCAAAACGCCATTTTCAAATGTTGCTATATGCAGCGTTTGCAAACTTGGCGGTTTGGAGCAGCGCTAAACAACTTTTTTGGCATTTTGACCTTGGTCAAAATGCTGAAATGGTGGATCCGCCATTAACCAAACATGTCCAAAATGTCACTCAAAAAGTAAAAAGATGATAAATATACTAAAAATGTAATAAAAAAATTACAATATTATAGTAGAATAGGATGTTAATTGTGCCATACCGTTTGTTTTCTAGTTAGTCCTATTAAAGAGCATCTACATCAAGTAGATATTGTAAAGTTTTTACACGATGTTTAAGAAAAGTAAGATGATGTGGAGCCGTGGAGGAGTGATAATTACAAGGTATTGAGATATTGCAGATTTGTGGGTCCCAATACTTTAATTAATGAGCATTGAATATCGCGTGAAGGCCAAATACGCGCCCAGCTAGGCCACACACGTACTCTTCCTTTAACCAACTTGTAATCAGAATAAAAGATTTAAAAACTTTACTAACCCGAGGATATGGCAAAATGCCTCTTTCCATGGGTCAAGATTCTTTGAAATTAGTTAACAAGAAAGAAAGGTTTAATTCATTTCGAGCAAAAAATGATTTATTAGGAAAAAAATATGTGAAAGAATGTGGGTATTTTGAAGGTTGTATAGTTAAATCCTAACGTCTAGCTAAATCATTCTCGTGCTAGTATATAGCATGTTAACTCCGCAATAATATAAAGAAATTTCTAGAACTATGATACTATTATGCATAAGAGCTATGATATGATTGTGTGTGTGTGTGTGTATAGTGTAATGAAATGTGAAACATAAGAGGTCATTTTATGTATACTCATTATCCTCTTATCCAAACTCTCAAAAAATGTCACTCATATCTCATATCTTAACTATAATAAAGCTATATGGTTTGGGAAGTAATTAATATTACAATTAATGCCACAACATCCTTTATTATTAAAAAAAAAAAAAAAACACAACATTTGAAAAATAAAATAGCTATATATTATATAATCATATAAAAAATGTACTTTTGAAAAATAAAATAGCTATATATTATATAATCATATAAAAAATGTGTTTAATTAGAGTTTAAATTTACTCATACAAAATTTGAAATTTGCTTTCCAAATGTAATTATCTTAGTTATTATTCGTATTGTGAAAATTATAATATAGATGAAATACAATTAAGAATAAATCAATGTAATTATGTAAATTCTCTCTATAAGTTATGCACATAATTAGAGATTATATTAACCATACAAAATTTTAATTTTAATTTTGTATTCTATAAAAATAATAAATACTTGACCAATGGAAGCTCAAAAATATTATTATATTAAATAATTTAAAATATTTTAATTTTTTTATTTTTTATTTATATTTATAATAACATAATTTTTGCCCGTGCATCGCGCGGGTGAATTACTAGTTCTTCATAATAATGGTAACAAAATGACTACTAGTATGACGTTTAATTGTTATACTGTAATAAGTAACATTATTTATGTAGACTTTTTTTTTATTAGACATCGAAAATCTAAATATTCTAAAATTCAATTAAAATTATTTTTCCTATCAATATCCGAGTTTTGTCTTAGGTTTTGTTTGGCAAACCTAGCTGAAAAGCTATAAGCTAGGAGGTGAAAGCTGAAAAGCTATAAGCTCGGAGCTGAAAACTGAAGAGCTGTTAAGCTAGCTGTTATGATTGAAAGTGTTTGGTAAAAATAGATTTTTAATAAGCTGATAAATGTAAAAAGACTAAAAAGGACATCTTCATAAAATTTAAATTAGTTTGTTTACATATTAAAATTTAACATTTTGTCTTTAAAAAAAATTAACATTTTGAAATAAAACTATTAGCATAACCATGATCTAGCATCTCATAATGAAGTAGCAATATTGTTGCAAATCCCATAATAATAATAATAATAATAATAATAATAATAATAATAATAATAATAATAATAATAATAATAATAATAATAATAATATTTGCGGTGAAAGTTGCGGATAAAGGAGAAGAGAAAAAGATTTTAATTGGGAAGGGTAAATTATGTCATTTCTTTAATATATAAGGATAAATATGGAAAAAAAAAAGTTAGGAAGCTAGGAGCTTATTTTGAAACGCTGTCTAAAGTAGCGTTCCAAAATAAGCTCTTATTTTAAGCTAGGAGTTTATTTTTGGGAACATTACCAAACAGAGCTTATAACTTAATAGGAGCTTAAAATAAGCTATAAGCTCCTAAATAAGCTCTGCCAAACAGAGCCTTAAATCTTATTTACAATAATAATGCATTATTTAATTCTTACTTGTTTGGTGATTAGCATCATTTCATTCAATGAACAGCAAAACAGAATTAAGAGAGTTGTAGCAACTGGCCAAGATTAATAGAAGTAAAATACAAAAACACATTTAGCAACTTGAGTCACGTGATTGAGAGATGGTACCTTAAAAATCTTTCCTTTTTTTTTTTTTTAGGGGTGGGGGTGTGGTGAATTTCTATTGTGAGTAACTAATCTTGTTCCCAAAAAGTTTGAATTCCCAACTCTAAGGGCCCGACAGAGCATTTTGGGAGGATGTAAATCATGATAACTCAACTGGACCTTTGCTTACTTCGCACAAGAAGCCGCTCCCACACTGCCGCTGGTGAAACTCGATCCCTGATCATTGTTTCCAAATTCACCCTATATGACCAATTGAGCTGCCCATACAAGCTGTGAATAGTTAGTTAATCTTGATTTCATTGAAGTTTGTCCTGATTTGCATTCAAACTAAGACATCTTGAAGACAAAACTAAGTGCCTTCCAGGATGTTTCTTTGAAATTTCCAACAGCTCTTCAGTACACCAATGTATGACCATATTTTTGTCTTTTGATTTTACAATGTTCCCAGACTATTGTTCTACTTGCACTTTTGCAGTCACCAGTGCATTAGGAAATGCCAAACCT